CCTATCCAGGAGCAAGGCATGTCTTTCCATTTTCTGATATCCTCTTCAATCTCTTTTTTCAGAGTGCTGTAGTTTTCAGAGAAGTGGTTTTTGATTTCTTTCATTAGATTGATTAGGAGGTATTTCATTTTTTTTGGATGCTATCGTGAAAGTAGTTGTTTCTCCAGTTCCTCTCTCATTGAGTCTGTTGTTCATGTACAGGAAGGCTATTTATTTTTGTTTGTTGACCTTGTACACAACTACTCTACTGAATTTATTATGTCTAGAAAACTTTTGGTGTTCTTGGGGTCTTCTATACAGAGTATCATGTCATCTGAAAATAATGACAATTTAACTTCTTCATTTCCTATCTTTATTCCTTTTATTTCTTACTCTTGTCTAATTGCTGTGACTAATATTTCCAAAACTGTATTGAAGAGGAGAGGTGATACTGGAAATCCTTGTCTTGTTCCTGATTTTAGCATAAAGAATCTCAGTTTTGACCATTTCACATGATGTTGGAAGTTGGTTTTTCACAGATGGCTTTTATCAGGTTGAGACAGAGACCATCTATTCAAATTTTCTGTGGGTTTTTTAACATGAATATGTTTTGGATTTTATTGAAGACTTTTTCTGCATCTATTGAGATGATCATATGGTTTTTGTCCTTGTCTCTATTAATATAGTGTATTACTTTTACTGATTTGTGTATTTTGAACCATTCCTGCATCCCTGGGATAAATCCCATTTGGTCATGGTGTATGATATTCTGCATTTTGTTTTCCAGTATCTTATTGAGAATTTTTGCATTAGGGATATTGGCCTATAGTTTGCTTTTTTGAGTGGGTCTTTCTCTTTTTAGGATCAGGGTGATAGTTGCTTCCAGGAACGAATTTAGGAGTATTGCTTCCTTTTCAATTTCATTGAAGAGTTTACACAGTAGTGACAATAGTTCTTCTCTAAATGTCTTGTAGAATTCAGCAGTGAGGACATCAGGACTCTGGCTTTTCTTTATTGGTAAGATTTTAATTATGTTTTCCATTTCATTGATGGAAATTGGATTGTTTAGAATTTTTAGGTCTTCTTCATTCAGCTTTGGTAGTTCATATGGATCTAGAAACCTGTCCATTTCTTCTGTGTTTTCCATCTTACTGGCATATAGGTTTTCAAAGTAGGTATTGATGATCCTTTGGATTTCTGCTGGTTCTGTTGTAATTTCACCCTTTCATTCCTAATTGCATGGATTTGGGCCTTTTCTTTCTTTTTCTTGATAAGGTTGGCTAATGGTTTGTCAATTTTCTTTATTCTTTCAAAGAACCACCTCCTTACTTCATTGATGTTTCTTAGTCTCCATTGCATTGATTTCTGCTCTACTCTTTATAATTGCCTTCCTTATATGAGCTCTGGGTTTGTCTTGCTCTTCTTTTTCTAGAAGCATGAGGTTCAGCATTAGCCTGTTTGTTTGAGCTCTCTGTTTTCCTAATATGAATATTCACTGCTATGAATTTCCCTCTCAAGACTGCTTTCATAGCGTCCTGTAAATTCCAAAATGTTGTATTGGCATTGTCATTTAATTGTAGAAACTGTCTAATTTCTTCTTTAATTTCCTCTGTGACCCATTGGTTCTTCAGGAGTACATTGTTCAATTTCCACATGTTTGTGAAATTCTTGTAGTTTCTTTTGCTACTGATCTCCAATTTCTTTGCACTATGATGTGATAATTTACAGGGAATAACTTCAATTCTTTTGTATTTACTTAAGCATGTTCTATGTGCAAGTATGTGGTCTATTCTGGACAGCAACCCTTTTGCACCTGAAAAGAATGTGTATTCTGATTTTGTGTGGTGGAACACTCTGTAAACATCTGTTAAGTCCATTTGGTCAAGAATTTGGTTGAGTTCTAGTATTTCATTGTTTATTTTTTCTGTAGTTGATCTATTTGTGACACTGGGGTGTTGAGCTTGCCCACTACTATTGTATTAGTTCTTGTTTGATTTTTCATGTCCATTAATATTTGTTTTATATAGTTGGGTGCACTAGTATTTGGTACACATATATTTATGATTGTCATCTCTTTCTCTTGAATTGTTCCCTTTACAAGGATGTAGTGGCCTTCTTTATCTCTATTCATTAATGTTCATTTGAAATCCATTTGATCTGCAAAGAGGATAGCTATTCTTGCTTTTTTTCCAGGCTCCTGTCACGTGGAACATCGTTTTCCACCCTTTAACTTTCAGTCTGTGAGTTTCTTTTCTAATTAAGTGTCTTTCTCATATGTAGCATTCTGCCAGTCTATTTCTTTTAATTGTTGAATTGAGACCATTAATATTGATGGTTATAACTAATATGTATTGACTTATCCTTGTCATGACCTTTTCCTGTTGTTGGATTCTCCCCCTTTACATTCAATGTATTGTCTTGCCTGATGGATTCATTCTGTTGGGCTTCATGGGGGTGTGACTCTCATTGTCATTTTCTAGAATATTGTTTAAAATTTTTTATAGTGCTGATTTGGTATTCATGAAGTTCCTCGGTGTTCTTTGTCATGCCAGTATCTTATTTCTCCATTGATTTTGAAAGATAGTTTTGCAGGGCACATCAATACAGAGTGAAAGTTTTAGGGATTGAAATACTTCACTTCAGGTTCTTCTTGCCTTGAAGGTGTGTGTTGAGAAGTCTGCTGTGATTCTGATGGGCTTTCCTTTGTATGTGATTTGTTTCTTTTCTCTCACTGCTTGTAGAATTTTGTTCTTCTGTTG